TTTCCTTCAGTAGAGTTTGCACAGAAGACGCTTCTGTCCCTTAATGCTCTCTACCTTTATCACGGACAATATGATTATTGTTATTTATTAATTGCCTTCCACATATGTCCAAAATATAATAAAAACAGCTTTAAAAAAAACAACAGTTGAGAGCAGCACAAAAAAAAAAAAGAATTTTAAAACAATACATAATGGACACCCATGGCTGAGACCTATTTATCCGGCTGGAAAAGCATTTTTCTTAAGGAAGAAAATGGCTTCAGTTGTTTCCAAAAAGTGCAGATCATGCCTATCAGACATATCTATAGCACCGTTTTTTGCCAGGAAGAAAAAAACGGGGAAGGTTTTGATCCCAGCCGCTGTGTGGGATCACAGAAGCTGGGTGTATGTGTGAAGAGGAGATCCCTCGCAATTAATTTATTCATTGCTGAATGTTGACCGCTAGTTGAGGGCCAAGCTAGATGTGGCACCATACATGTCATTAGCTAGTGGCTTTTTTAAAAAAAGTGTAAACACCTGCAAAGATAGGATGGAGTGGGCTGTGATCTGAATCAAAATCTGAGCTGGGTGTGGCAGGGTGTCTCTTGCTGTGACCTTGATTGGGACCAAAGTGCCTGCACCTGATGTTTGCATTGGAAGGAAAACTTCAGTTGCCAAGGTTCAGATCTTTCTCTTGCATACAAACAGCAGGCCAGGAGCTCTGATCCTGATCAGGATAATGGGGAGTGGGGTTCAGAAAGGAAAGTGGCCTTTCCTGCCAGGCCAGATCCTGATCCAGATCAGAGGCCCTGCACCTGCTATTTACTTCTAAAAAGCCATTTGTATTCAGTGATTTCTGTGTAAAACCAGGAAGCCACCTGTTTGTCTCCTTCACAACAATTTGGAATTAACTTTAAATATTCAAACTGCCACTGGCGGAAATGACTGGCAGAATCCGAGACCAGGGAGAAAAGTCGGTGGAAGAAGATTGGAAGAAATTTAAGGACTATCTACAGAAATATTGTAAAATTAATGAATGTTAGAATGATGTTGGTTAGAAATTAAGTGGTTTTCAGCTGTAATACTATAAGGGAATATGAAAAATGGATTATGAATAGGTGAAAATTTAACGTTACAATATTTTAAGATTAAAGATTAGGATAAACAAAGAGGGTAAGGATTTGCTGAACCAACAAACTGAACTGGAATACAAAAAAGGGAGGCGTGAGGAGGTCCGGGAAATAAGCTAATGAAAAATAAGTAATGGAAAGATTGAGTTGTTTTTAGCCATTTTTATTTTTGTACTTTTTTCTTTTTTTGTTTTTGTTTTGTAACATTTTGAAAATCTTAATAAATATCTTTTTTTAAAAAAAATAAATATTCAAACTGCCGTAAGTCTGCACGTTGTATTTGTCTTTATCCCACCTAACAGTTTATTTCATGTTCTTGAAGTTGGTGATCTACGCAGGCCCCAACACAAATAGCCGGAAGGTTGCTGAATATGGGGGCAACACCCTAGGATATGGGAGCCGGAGTGTCTTAGGAACTGGTTGGCCCAAAGACTTAGTAAAGGTACAGAGTAAAGATTTCTCTTTTTAAAAATAACAGCAACAAGATTTCAACCAAATTTGATAATAATAATAACATTATTTATACCCTGCCCATTTGGCTGAGTTGTTGTTTGGGAACTACTTTATAGAAAAATGGTTTGTGTTTTGTTGTAGACCCATAAAAAAACCATGCAAGGAGGACTGTAGCAGCTGAGTTCAGTATTTATTTTGTAATGTTAAATGAGGAGGGGTAGGAGGAGAAGGGAAAAGCAAAGGAACAGCTCCAGGACTAATTGTTGCTGATCTGATCTTCTGATACAGTTATAACTTGAAATGTACAGGGAAAGGCTGGCTATTGTCTTTGTGTTGTTGTTGTTGTTTTTAAAAAACCACTTTAAAAAAAAGCTAGTGGTCATTTTTAAAAACAAAATTATGAAATAATAGTGCCATTGTAGTTAGGCTTAAGGGTAATATCCTGTAAGAGAGATGGATTCATGGACCTGGAACAATCACGGTTACTTCCTTGTCACCTCCAGTCCTTGCGTTTTCCACATTTGTCATGGTTCCATGGTCAAGGACCTGTACCAGTTGCAACCTCTGAAATCAGATTATGTATGCGAGTATTATTTGGGTTTTCCATCTCATGTCTGGTCAACCAGAAGAAGGGTCATTGGCTTTTATTTCCAAAGCCAATTCTTGCCCAAGAATGTCCAAGTGCTTCTGCAAAGTCTGTTAAAACACACATCCATTTATTTAATGTTCTTCATTTGCCTCCTACCTTTCCAGGGAGCTCTGAATAGCATCAATTCTTCTTTTCCCTACCTACCCTCCCTCCCAATTATATTTTCACAATCCTGTTAGATAGGTTCTGTTTGCAGTGCTGGCTGGAAAGACTAGCCAAAAGTTACCAGTGAGCTCCATGACTGAGTGGGGATTTGAACCTGAGTCTGTCCAATGTGACTTTCTGTGATTTTTAGAGCCATTTCAGTTGTTGTAATGCCTTGCTACCCTATCATACTCCTGAAACCCCCATGGAAAGTCTGTGAAGACAGCAGTGCATGAAAAAGGGATTGCACCCTATCTTTAGCTGCTTGTTTAACTGTTTCTCCTTTGCCCTTTCAAAACATAAGGTGGAAGGGGACACCGTTACCTTCTCCTTTGAAATGCGGAGTGGCCGAGAACACAACACCCCAGACAAAGCAATGTGGGGCTTTGCTTGTACAGTTCGAGCACAGGTATGATGATGATGATGATGATGATGATGATGATGATGATGATATATTATTTATACTCCGCCCATCTGGCTGGGTTTCCTCAGCCACTCTGGGTGGCTTCCAACAAAATATTAAAATACAATAGTCTGTTAAACATTAAAAGCTTCCCTAAACAGGGCTGCCTTCAGATGTCATCTAAAAGTCTGGTAGTTGTTTTTCTCTTTGATATCTGGTGGGAGGGTGTTCCACAGGGCGGGTGCCACTACTGAGAAGGCCCTCTGCCTGGTTCCCTGTAACTTGGCTTCTCGCAGTCAGGGAACCACCAGAAGTCCCTCGGCACTGGACCTCAGTGTCCGGGCAGAACGATGGGGGTGGTGACACTCCTTCAGGTAGGCTTGTGTTAGGTTTGTATATGGGACATTAATGGAGATTTGCTGTAATAACTAAATACGCTGGATTTGAGGGGAGAGGAAGAGGGACAGGCATGTAATGGTACTGCCTAACATATTGTGGGCCCGAACATATTGTGGGCCCCAACTACCTTGACTACACATTCACATGTCACTCAACTTTAACACTCTTATAAGTATATAAAAACCAATAGCATTAATTGTTGTGTGTGCTTTTTTGCCTTTCTGTTCTGAAGGAGTCATCAGAAGACGTGTCGGGAGGATTGCCATTCTTGGTAGACCTTGCTTTAGGCTTGTCTGTGCTGGCTTGCTCTATGCTGAGGATTCTGTACAATGGACCAGAAATAACCAAAGAGGAGGAAACGTGCCAAGATCTTCTGAGATCTAAACTTTTACAGAGGTAAATAATATATGGATGAATGCAAGGGGGCAGGATGTTAATTCCTTGTCAGATGCCAGAAGCCTTCTAAGCCTTTTTCCCTTGTGTGCAGGTAGCTTAGGACCAAAGCCCATACAAAGTGGTACTCTCATGCTTAGGAATCTCCCATGTCTTCTTCTCTGTTGAAAAGCAACTGCTGGGGAGGGAGATTGTGGGAGAAGAATCATAAAATCATACAATTGTAGAGTTGGAAAGTTAACATTTCGCCCCTGCACCTTTTACCCAAGTGAAATCACACCTAATGGCAGCTTCGGTGTGTGGTTGATTGTGTCAGGACCAGTCCAGCAGGAAAGGGTTAACATGCACACACCCCTTCAGTGCAACCAAAGAAAAACGCATTGGGAGATTGGGTGAGAGACCTCCCAAATCACATCCAGATTGGCTCTGAGTTACAGCAAGGTTGTTGAAATTTGTGGAAGATGGTTGTTTTTCCTAAATGCATGAATCGGATGAACAGCTGAATTGCGAACAAAATGGGAGTAATTGCAAACAAAATGGGAGATTCCAGAGTGTGCAAGAGGGCCCTCATAAGAGATGTCAGAAAGACTCTTAAACTGAAGGCCCAGTTGGTGTTTGTCAGACGGCTTCATGGTGAAGCTGTTTTATGGTTTTTAGAGTTGTTTTGAGGAATAAGTGTGTTTCTCTGCTAGGAATGTGCACTTCAGGTACACTGTCTTCTAATCTGCTTTACTTTGAAAATGATAGATCTTGTTTTGAGGCCTGAAAGGAACAGAAGACTTCCTCCCTCTCTTTCCTTTTCCAGGTGCCAGTGGCAAGTGGAAGCCAATGGCGTCATCTCTCCAGCCCTCACCCCAAGCCCCTCCCCACTGCCTCTCACCATTGATGAAGACCGAGAGTTCACTTATCCCTCCGATATTCTTGTGCCTCCTGTTGGTCACTACTTTGACTTGCCAAGGATCAGGCTCCCTCCTGGAATCATGATCAAACTCAGGGAAATATCTGGTCGAGCTCGGCCTCAGTTCAGACCCAGCATCAGGTGTGTAACAGCTTTTCTTCCTCCTTTTTTTTCTTCCAGTAGCACCTTAAGGTAAAGGTAAAGGGACCCCTGACCATTAGGTCCAGTCGTGACCGACTCTGGGGTTGAGGCGCTCATCTCGCTTTATTGGCCAAGGGAGCCGGCGTACAGCTGCCAGGTCACGTGGCCAGCATGACTAAGCCGCTTCTGGCGAACCAGAGCAGCACACGGAAATGCCGTTTACCTTCCCGCTGGAGCGGTACCTATTTATCTACTTACACTTTGACGTGCTTTCGAACTGCTAGGTTGGCAGGAGCAGGGACCGAGCAACGGGAGCTCACCCCATCACGGGGATTTGAACTGCCGACCTTCTGATCGGCAAGCCCTAGGCTCTGTGGTTTAACCCACAGTGCCACCCGCGTCCCTAGTAGCACCTTAGAGACCTACTAAGTTTGTTATTGGTATGAGCTTTTGTGTGCATGCACACTTCTTCAGATACCCATGCACACGAAAGCTCATACCAATAACAAATTTAGTAGGTCTCTAAGGTGCTACTGGAAGAAATTTTATTATTTTGTTTCGACTACGGCAGACCAACATGGCTACCTACCTATAACTAGAACTTTTTTTTCTTGTTCATTTTGGATCATATGCACTTGTAACAAATCATATGTTTAAAATAATCTCATTTTAAGTAAACCAAGGGTGGGTTTATTTAATTCTTCAATAGCTGTCATTTCATAATATGTCTGTGATATTAAGTATGCTTAGTAGTTGGATTTCTGAGTTTAAATGTGATTTTTAAATAAATGGTTTTGACATGTAGGTAGATGCTACTTGAGACACTTTTAGGTATGAATCATCCCCTTCCCCCACCACACACTAATATTATTAAAAACTGACCAGTGTTGTTGGTAGATTAAAAAGTAAAGGGACCCCTGACCATTAGGTCCAGTCATGACTGACTCTGGGGTTGCGGCGCTCATCTCGCTTTATTGGCCGAGGGAGCCGGCGTACAGCTTCCGGGTCATGTGGCCAGCATGACTAAGCCGCTTCTGGCGAACCAGAGCAACGCACAGAAACGCCGTTTACCTTCCCGCCGGAGCAGTACCTATTTATCTACTTGCACTTTGACGTGCTTTCGAACTGCTAGGTTGGCAGGAGCAGGGACCGAGCAACGGGAGCTCACCCCGTCACGGGGATTTGAACCGCCGACCTTCTGATCGGCAAGTCCTAGGCTCTGTGGTTTAACCCACGGTGCCATCCACGTCCCTGTTGGTAGATTACTGGTCCCTTATACAATAGAACTTCGACTTACCACCGCTCCTACTCGCAAACAATTCAACTCGCGACCGCAGCAAACCCAGAAGTAAATACTGGGTTTGCCGCGATTCACGCACGTGCAGAAGCGGCTGCTGCCGTCTGCACATGTGCAGAATGGTGCCGCCGAATGCACATGCGCAGAACAGCGCTTCTACCAGCGACCCAGATCGACTCACGAACGGACCTCTGGAACGGATTCCGTATGTGAGTAGAGGTTCCACTGTACAGCCCTTTCCTCCCCTCACAGTGGACCCACACTCTCAGGCCAAACGAATCTACAGAATTGTCGTGCCCGTTTGCCAAAAAACCTTTTTACCAACTTTTCGTTTTTGATTCTTTCCTTCAACAGAGAGGTCATCCAGCCGGACATAATGGAAGAAATGGTAGTTTCGTGTGTGATCAAACATTTAAACCTGGTTGATGCACTCCAGTCCCTCATAAACTTCCAGTATCAAGAGGAGCATGCAGAAGAATATGACTTGCTTTGTAAAATTATGGGAGAAACGTTTAAGAAACTAAATGCCATGGAAAGACAATTGCAGGTAAAAATGCTACAAAAAAATAAATTTCCGGTGTAGAGAAAGAAGATGGCGGGCCCTTTATAATTAAGATGTATATCTCCAGGGGGACCCTTATATTCTTAGCACACTGAGCACATTTCCCCTTACCTTTGGTAATGATGCTCCAACACTTTCATTTGCTAACACTTTCACATCCCCCCACTTTTTCTTTTTCTTTTTTGCCCAGAGTGTCGCCGAATTAGAACAGAAATGGCAAAGTGAAGTGGAAGATGCCATGCATGGGAAATTGGAGAACAATGTGCCCTTCTTTTATGATTATCATTTTAACGAGGTGAGTATCATATGTCGATCCCCTTCAGTGCTGGTAAGAACAGAGGAACTCAGGCAATGCTTTCTCTGAATTGCTGTACTCTTTCCCTCTTCCTATAAAACGTTGTGCTGGCTTTATTAGTGCCCAAGAACAAATCATGGGCACTTTGAAGCAGACTGACTGATCGACCCTGTGCTGGAAATTAAGCTGCAAATGCTGATTGCTGTTTCTTCCAGGAACAGCTGGGTTTTGCAGGCATAGATGTAAGGGAAAGGTGTCTCCAAAGGATCCGAGGGTTTCCTCAGTATGTCAGGGTAATAAAATCGAGCAACTGGAAGCGAGCAGTTTGAGGGAATTGTAAAAATAGTTGCCAGTGTTCTACTCCTGCCAGATAATTTAGAAAATGGGTCTGGTTCTGGGTAATTGTTTCAGTATAATTCAAATTCTTTAGACTGAAGGGGAAAGGGAACCTGCAGGTTTGGTGAAGGCAGAACATTTACCTTGCATGCAAAAGGCCTGGGTATCTTTAGAAAGGCTGGGAAAGACTCCTGCCTGAAACAGTAGAGCTGGGGGCTCCTATGTATCACCAAGGGGCCCTTGTTTTGTCTGATCAGGGGAGGCTCAGGAGTCATGGGCAGCTGGCTGTTGCCCAGATTTTTAAAAACTCTGCGCATTTATGTTTCACAGGGTGCAAATGAAGGGCGTTGCACCTTACCTGGCAGAGAAACCCCTCCTGGGCAACGGCCGCCCACCCGCAATTCCGAAGCCTACCCCAATCTGTCAAAACAAAGGGGGAAGGTCGCAGGAAATCTGTATCCCCGGATGTCCCCGGTTCCTCCTTGGCAGTGGCAGCAAGCAGTGAGCAGCTCCTGAAGCCAGCCAGAGCCAACTGCGCTACCAAGCTGGCTCCGGGCTGCTGAGGCTGCTGCTGCCACGTTTCCCAGGGACAGATTTGCAAATCTGGGGGCTGTCCCCGGGAACCGGGGATATCTCATAACCCTAATGTAGAGGGATGTTGAAGTCAATTAGAGATCTGGTGGTAAGGGGAAGGTGCTCTGCAAAGGCATTGTCTGTGCATTTAGGGCCTAACTAATGTCTGCAGATATGTATTTCCTTTCCAGCTAATATTTGGTGGGAGTTTCCTGCCTTTAGCTACCTGAAGTGTCTTTACCCTTTTGGAACCAGATTCTCTTCCTGATATGTGCTAATCTAGCCTTCCCCAACCTGACGCCCTTTAGATGTTGTGGACTCCAGCTCCCATTAGCCCCAGCCACGATGGGAGATGTTGTCCGAAAGAGCTGGAGGAAGGGGCGGAGGAGAAAATTGTGTTGGTCCACTTTTAAAGTGAACTTTCCTAATTCATACTTCCTGGAACAATATTTTGAACCATAGTGCAGCTGTCTTTCAAAATTCACACTTCTTCAGATTTTGTGATGGAGTTCTCCAACCAAATAATGTGTACAAAAATATGTGATTTAGAGGAAAACATGCATTAAAATGCATATATTGGTGAAAATAGCATTCAAAATACAGTATATTTTGGGAAATGTGTATAGTAGGAGAAATTCACACTAAAATGCTGGTGAATTTTTATGAGGATTTTTTTAAAATTGTAAACTGATGCAGAAAGTGTCAAACTGAATTTAAGACTAAAAATATGAGAAACTGGAATTGACTGAATTTGTCCATCCCTATTTGAAGGCCACCAAGTGGGGAAGGCTAGGCTAATCAATCAGGTTGATTCTTAGTTTGGAAATGAAAGGAACTGAATCTTGATGCGTTCTTTGCTTCCTAATGCATCCGGTGCAACTAGCTCAGAGCACCAATGCTGTGCTGGATTTGTCCACTGAAGAGGAAAGATGGATTTTATTTCACAGATGGAAGTGGAGATTTCCTGTCCACATAATCAACAAAAATTCCACATTATCTCCTGAATCAGAGATATTCTATTCTATTTATTCATTAAAAAAATAATAACCATGCTTTCCTATAAAATATCGCAAGGCACTATACAACCTAAAAATGCAATATCTGGCCTCCCTTTTCAGTATATTTTCCCCTTCTCTCTAGAGCAAAATGAAAGAATTGGAGCTTTTGTGTTCAATGAAAGAGATTTCTTTTGATGGAAGTGATCTCGAGAATATGGTTCTCTCACTCAGGTTAGTGTGGCTGCTGAATTCGGTAGAAATTCTGTCCTCTTTATTTGGGTGGTTTATTTGATTGGTACGTGTGGGCTGGTACATTTGTAAGTTCCAGTCTGAGGTTTCCAATATCCAGGTTTTCTCCTAATACAACCTCAGATTTGAATAGCATTGCATGTTCTCTTCCAACGTGTTTCTGAAGATCTAATGGACATCCGACCTGTGTGGGATTTAACTTCACTGCTTTTTAGGGAGAAATTCTTCCAAGAAGTGAACTCTCTGCTTCAGAAGCCTTTGCATCCCATGGGTAAAACAAAAACACTGGTCAAGAGCCTGATGAACCGAGCAGAGCTGCTCTTGCATGTCACCATTGCTGCACAGTCTGGGCTTACCAGGAGTATATCTGGCACACCTGCAGAGACACCAGGTAAGGAGAGAAAAGAATCTGATGTCTTAAAGTGAAAGATGCTCTGGTCAGACCTCACCTGGAGTACTGTGTCCAGTTCTGGGCACCACAGTTCAAGAAGGACACTGACAAACTGGAACGTGTCCAGAGGAGGGCAACCAAAATGGTCAAAGGCCTGGAAACGATGCCTTATGAGGAACGGCTAAGGGAGCTGGGCATGTTTAGCCTGGAGAAGAGGAGGTTAAGGGGTGATATGATAGCCATGTTCAAATATATAAAAGGATGTCACATAGAGGAGGGAGAAAGGTTGTTTTCTGCTGCTCCAGAGAAGCGGACACGGAGCAATGGATCCAAACTACAAGAAAGAAGATTCCACCTAAACATTAGGAAGAACTTCCTGACAGTAAGAGCTGTTTGACAGTGGAATTTGCTGCCAAGGAGTGTGGTGGAGTCTCCTTCTTTGGAGGTCTTTAAGCAGAGGCTTGACAACCATATATCAGGAGTGCTCTGATGGTGTTTCCTGCTTGGCAGGGGGTTGGACTCGATGGCCCTTGTGGTCTCTTCCAACTCTATGATTCTACGATTCTATGCTCTCAGTGCAGTGTTTCCTGCAATTTGCAAGCTGCTTAAGAGTAGAAACTCAGCAATGAAAGTAGGAAGCAAGAAGAAAGCAGCAGCAATGTTTTTACGGGATAGGAGGAAAGTGTTGTGGGTTCTTCCCCCTTTTCTTACTCCATTTAATTCTGCTTCATCTCCTAAATGTAAATATAACATGCCACAATACAAAGAAAATTGAATTTACAAAGAACAAAGAGAGGTATAACATATTAACAGTAGTCCCAGCCGATA